CCAATTTTGTAAATGGACTGGATCTTTATATTTTTCACTTGTATCCTGTTTCAGTAATAATGAGATCAGACCTTCTTCTTGAGTGTCTGATAATCTACCATTTACATAGGAGTGGTTAAAACATGCTAATAACGGTCCTCTTAGTATATCAAAAAAGGTTTGGTATACCTCGACTGGTATGCCATCCAACCCTGGAGTTTTCCCAGACATAAAGTATTTAATTGCATCCAGAAGTTCCTCCTCTGTAATTTCACCTTCACATGAGTCTTTCTGTGTGGCTGTTAATTTGACATTATCAATAGAAAAAACATCTCTACAATTAGCTTCAGTTAGAGGAGATGGAGGCGACTGAAAAGAAAACATATGCTTAAAGTACTTTGTTTCTTCCTTCAAAATATCATTTGGTGAATTATGGGTGACTCCGTCAATTGTAACCAGTTTCATTAAGTTCTTTTTGGTAGCATTCCTATGTTGAAGATTAAAAAAGAATTTTGTGAATTTTTCCCCATATTCCATCCAGTTTGCTTTATTTTTATAATATATTACACTTGATCTTTCTTGAATAAGTTTCTCCATTTCTTTTTGTTTTTCCTCTAATTTATTCTGAGCCTCTATGTTACAGTTATTGCCATCTATCTGTTTTGTTAGACTTTCTATTTCCTTTGTTAGTATAAACTCTTTTGACCTAAATTGCTTTTGTTTTCGAGATGAATACTGAATTGCATGGCCTCTAAAGGCACATTTAAAGGTGTCCCATACAATAAGGGGATTCGCTGTACCTATGTTATGTTGGAAAAAGTCAGTTATAAATTCCTTTGTTCTAATTATAAATAAATTACCATCCAATAGGCTTTGATTAAATTTCCAATATCCTCGCCCACGTGGAAATTCAGTAAGAGTAATGTATATGCCTATTATATGATGGTCCGACCGCATTCTGTCCCCTATCAACACTTTTTTTACTTTTGGTGCCAACGAGAATGAGATAAGAAAGAAGTCAAGAAGTCAACGCCCGCTTGGAGTTTGCCAAAAGGCACCTAAAGATTCTCAGGTCTGATGAAACCAAGATTGAACTCTTTGGCCTGAATGCCAAGCGTCACGACTGGAGGAAAACTAGCAATATCCCTAAGGTGAAGCATGGTGGTGGCAGCATCACGCTGTGGGGATATTTTTCAGCGGCAGGGACCGGGAGACTAGTCAGGATCGAGGGAAAGATGAACGGAGCAAATTACAGAGAGATCCTTAATGAAAACCTGCTCCAGAGCGCTCAGGACCTCATTCTGGGGTGAAGGTTCACCTCCAACAGGACAACGACCCTAGGCACACAGCCAAGACAATGCAGGAGTGGCTTCAGGACAAGTCTCTGAATGTCCTTCAGTGGCCCAGCCAGAGCCCAGACCTGAACCCGATCAAACATCTCTGGAGAGACCTGAAAATAGCTGTGCAGCGATGCTCCCCATCCAACCTGACAGAGCTTGAGAGGATCTGAAGAGAAGAATGGGAGGAACTCCCCAAATACAGGTGTGCCAAGCTTGTAGCGTCATACCCAAGAAGACTCGAGGCTGTAATCGCTGCTTCAACAAAGTACTGAGTAAAGGGTCTGAATACTTATGTAAATGTGATATTTCACTTTATTTTTACATTTGCTAACATTTCTACAAACCCATTTGTGCTTTGTCATTATGGGGTATTGTGTGTAGATTGATGAGGGGGAAAAAACTATTCAATCAATTTTAGAATAAGGCTGTAATGTAACAAAATGTGGAAAAAGTCAAGGGGTCTGAATACTTTACGAATGCACTGTATCTCAGATATTGCTTGTTTGAAGATGGTCAAGTCATGTTTGCCGTTTGCCCACTCCTCTGGATCACTCATTAACTTGACACCAGAAAACAATTCTTTTTTTTCTTTATTCATTTTTCTGATAATTAATACGTTTGATACTTGAAGCAGAAAAAATGAACAAAAATGCTTAACAGACCTCCACAAGAGGCTGAATTCTTGTTTGTTTTTCTTCTGTTATTCATTTCTCTCTTTTTGTATTCATAATACCTGTGATAGAATGGAGATTCTGTTCTGTCATGACGCATTATGGCAAGGGCAGGGAAAGCAGACAAGAGGAAACGTTCAAAACCAACCATAACCCAACTCCCAAACACACTTCAGCCCAAAACAATAAACAAAACAAATAAATGAAAACAAATATTTACAAAGCTTTAAATCATTTTCTAGGCCTTTATTTCAAACATCACATACATCTATCTCTCTACAGCATATTTATCCAACCTACAGTGTCCCTTTTAATAGCTATTCACTAATATTCCAAACATCACATCTCTCGCTGCCTTGAGTGGTCCAAGGAGGCTGAGGAGAAGCACTTACAGGGCAGTACAGGACAAGGCCCAAGACAACCTCCCCTGACAGATCAATATCATATCTCAGTAGAACACCTTGAAGTAATTCTCAACCCCAATAAAATATTACAGAACACCAGACGATGCATATTTAGTGTAAAACTGAATCCACGGATATAATCTTAGATCCTGGGAGGCCAAGATGGATTGATTGATATAAACTTACATTTCTCAGTGCTTTCTATGCCCAACACCCCACTGTCAAAGTTCCACTCAGGGTGCCTATCCACTCTCTCCTGCTAAATAACTCACACCATTCTCAAACCACAGTCATCAATTAAGCACTTCCTGTGCACAACTCTATGGCACTTTCTGATCTCTTCAGTGGTAACACACTTTAAAGGCTAACAAACTCTGAAAGTTAAACCTAACCCACCCTTCCGCTGTAAAATAAGCATAACAAAAATAGCATGACAACAGAACTAATATCGCAGTTGGCAACACCATCAAATATTCGGACGATCCAAACAACTCCTTGTTCCTCTGATTCTCTAGTGATGTGACTGAGTATTTAAGGGGAAACTATTAAAAATCCTGATAAGGAAGTACACATAGTGGGATATCTGCAACGGGAGAGCCGGAGAAGGAAGCACAGGCTAAAACACACAGTATATAAACTACTATCACCACCACACCATCCAATTCTGTTATCATAGGCCAGAACCTTGGTCACACCCTACGGTGAACCCATATAATATCTAAAATCCTCCTCACATTTTCTATCTGGGAAAACAAAAACAAAACTCATAAAAAGGTGCATCCTCTACAACTCCAACCAGGCCAAAGACATATTCACACATCTCCACGTTACATCTTGTCAACCATTATCAAAACAGTCAAAATTGTTATTGTTTCAGACACATCCCGGTCACTCACCCTCTGGTTGGCTGTATGGATATGGGCCAATGAGGTGGTGAATAGTGAGCATCCTGGCACACACAGCATTTCGCTACACCCGCAATAACATCTGCTAAATGTGTATGTGATCAATACATTTGAAGTTGATTTGAACACAAGGGCATGGTTCAACATTGGGGTTTATGACAGCACAGATTACACACAAACACCTCAGAGGCAGAACAAGGCTGATACACTGCTAAAAGTCTGTGGGAATGTTTACCAGCCTGGTAACCCACAATTCCATTGGTCCTTCTCTGGGCAGCACACAGGACATTGCCACAAGAACCCGTACAAGCCACCCAGGTGACTGCATATCATGTGTCAGCAGCAGCACTGTGACTTACAGTGCAGAGCTTATTATAGTACATACCTACCATCTGTGTCACAGGGCCAGAGTGGGACATACTAACAAACAAACAAGGAACATATTGGCAAACTATGGCACATTTCAGTTTCATAAGACTCAAACGCTAACAATGTTGATCGCAGAGGTCACCTAAATGATTCAAAAGGATTTTTGGATTGGGGCACGTGCATTGTAAACAACTCCAAACAAACCAGTTTAAGGGAAAATCTAAGGCTACGAGAAGTACAATGTGCAGGGTGACATCTCACCTGTCGTTTTCATCTACAAAGCTAAGGGGAGTCCACTGATAACCCTTTCTGTTCCTGGGACACAAAATTGATGGAGATTATCAAAACGTTGTTCAAGTTGCATACATAAGTTATACCAGGTATCAAATGATATGTAAGGACTGCATGTTTGCTGCTTGCTTAGTAAAACAAGCTAGAGAGTAAGAGATCAAAGATGGAGAAAGAACAGTGGAGAATGAATCTCTTGAGTAGAATATCTATGAATGTATTAACTCTGGTCAGGGTCAGGAGATGTTAGCAAGTGTAAAGACAGCGGTCCCGTTACAATCTAGTCCACTAAGATGGGAGGAGAGGGAAGGATTTAGAGGTTCAGAAAAGCCAGGCAGGAGAGCGAGAACCTTCACACTTACAGCCAGAATCACGCCACCACTTTTACACCTCAGAGTTTTTAGGCATCAAAGACAACAGAATTACTGTGATACATCAGGATCGAGTGTTTGATGGTCAGTCAGTTTCTCATGAGTTAGTTCTCCTCCATTGTCTTTTACAGTAATTGTTTGATTGTTTAAATCTCCCCCCCTTGCATTACCAGCCTATTGCATTGTCCCTTATAGTTTGTATTTTGAATCTTCCCGGAAAACAAAGAGAGAAAAAAGAAAAAGAAATACTGTCAAGGAGGTGTGTAAACAAAACTCCTTTAAAATTTGGCAACATAAGAAGTTGGGATATGGGGGAGACAAAATACTGCTACCTACATATAAAACATTTGGGTTTACCCAAATAGGAACGTTTCACATTGGAATTTTCTTGGTCACAATCTTAAAAGCAAAAAGAATATGTAAGACTTTTTCATTCAATAAACAAGACTAAACTGCCACTTATTAATAGGAATGGAATAGTTTGCCATATTTCTCTCTTATTCCATAATGTTAACTGAGGGTTAGGGGCTGACTAAGAAAAGTTAATCTCGGAATGTTGCTTGGGATTGTTGCTAGGCAGGTTTCAGGCGGAACGCTGTCATTGAGATTGGCAGTGACGGGTCCCGCCCACCTCCTAGCCAATGGATCGTCCTGAACTTTGGCGGGAGGGTCCTTAAATGGCGATCTTGGACATCTGCTCCTCGAGTTGGATGATTCGCTTCTCCTGACTGCTGACCAGGTCCTTGAGGGATTTGATTTCTTTCAAGACCTCATCCAGCTTGGCTTCGTTTTTCTGAGGAATACAGAGACAGAGCAAGACATGAGAGGCCCTTTCTGGAGATGTTTGTACCAGTCCTAGTATAGTTAAAAGCTTTTGCACCAAGACGAAATTGCTGTGAATTCAACAGATTTGGTATTTTGTTATCTGAAAAGAAATGTAGGGTCTACATTAGGGTTCCCTAACTTGCGGCCCGCGGACGATTTTATTTGGCCCCCAAATGAGCATTTAAAAAATATGTTTATTAAAGTTTTATTGTTTTATTGTTGTACTGTAAAAACACCAGCAAATCAGCGCCAATGATTTTTATTTTGGAAATCTGTTCCAAAATATTCCCACCCATAATAGAGAGATATATGATCGAATACAAAATGTAAGCAAGTTTTGAAATGATTATGTTTTAGTCAAATATTATATCCGTTTTGGGCTTCTTGCGGTCATTTTGCAAATGATTTGTAATTATGTTCCAGCCCCCTGACCATCCGCTCAAGAAAACAAATCTGCCCGTGTCTGAATCTAGTTGATGATCCCTGGTCTACACACTGTGTGTGTATATATATATATATATATATATATATATATATATATATATATATATATATATATATATATATATATATATATATATATAGTGAATTTCCTCAGATCCATTCTATCCCTGCAGGCATGCTATGCTGCAGGCAGGCAGGGCTCCAGTACCCTGTGACACCCTGAGGGTTAACATGGTGCGCCCAGTCTGCCATGATTACAGGCCAGAGCTGCAGATAGATGCGGAGGCCAGGGCTGGGTCCCACGCGGGTGGCTGTGTTGTGGGCGAGGTGGGGCAGGACGCCCAGAGCAGCAACCGCCCCTCAGTTAGTGGGTCAGAGAGAGCGAGGGGGGTGGAGACTTCTAGTAACCACCTTATGAAGTCAGGCAGCCACCCCCCTCTTCACGTTCCAAGTCCCCGGCTGCAACATGTCGAGGCCAGGGCTGAACTAAAGGCCATTTAATGCCTGTTTCAGTGGTAAGGTGGTGGTGGGTGTGGTGATCATCAGACTAGTCCTGGGAAAGCACTGTACATACCCATGTAGATACATACTGTAATGTTGGTATACTGATCCAGTCTGGTGTCAACTTCCACTCAAAACACTAATGGCACATTGCACATACAGAATAATATCCTGGTGTCTGGTGGGTAGTACTTGTATCCATAAAATAGAGCAGTGTTTCCCAACTCCTGTCCGCTAGTACGTCCAACAGTACACATTTTTATTGTAGTCCCGGACAAGCACACCTGATTCTACTTGTCAACTAATCATCAGGCCCTCATTGAGTTTAATCAGGTATGTTAGTCCGGAACACAACAAAAATGTGTGCTGTTGAGGGTACTCTAGGACTGGAGTTGGGAACCAATGAAATAGAGTGGAGAGAGAATGTAACAGTCTCTCCAATACAACCCAGTCAGAGTCCTCCCCAGACAGAGACAGACAGTAATCCTCACTCTGGATGGAGTGGGCGAGGCAGACTTGTTGGCTGGGCCCCTTTTCTCCGCGTTCTTGCTCAGCTTGTTGTCCAGGATGTTCTTCTTGACCACCTTGAGGTCGCGGTTCTTGCCAGGGACGTAGCCGTTCTTCAGGGATATGAGGATGGGCTCGCCGTTCTTCCCCTCGAACCAATCCTCCGCCTCGATGGCACAGTCTGGTCCTGCCGTGTCTGGGTACAGGTCGTCCTGGAACAGGTCAGACTGCAGGGAGAGAGAGGGAGAGAGAGGGAGAGAGAGAGAGAGGGAGAGAGAGGGAGAGAGAGAGAGAGGGAGAGAGAGGGAGAGAGAGAGAGAGGGAGAGAGAGGGAGAGAGAGAGGGGCACAGAGACAGCTGTTAGAGAACACTGTATGCATAGTTCCAGTTACCAAGACACAGATTAAACATAATCCTGGATGAAAAAGCATTTTCAACTGAGATTCTTCATTGATCTTGCTTTCTTAATCTGTGTCCAGGAAATCACCCCACAATATTCTATCATCTATCCCTAGCCTCAAAACAGACAGCTTGAGTTAAATGTGGCATTGATTGTTTTAATCATTCATATATCGACTGTCTCTAGATCAGAATGAAGAAGCTCACCTTTCTGGGCACAGTCATGATGATAGGTTCACACTTCCTTTCGTGCAGTTTATAAAACCTGTCAACATAGAAGTACAAATAAGCATATTATTCACAACATCATATAACAGGCCTACTGTCTAACATCCTTTTACACACACTGCAGCCCAGCCCAATGCACTTCTACTTCCAGGACACTGGCAATACTCTCAGGCAGCCTCAGTAAACATGGAGCTGTAGAACTGCATGGTACATGATTTTGGTTGGCAGGGCCTGAGTTAAACACAGTTTAGAAGGAGAGAGCTCTCCTCCAACATGTGGTTCTGTGCTGCCTCCTGGTGGACATGGACAGCTAATAGCGTCACATCACAAGTCATGCCTTCCGTTTAGGGCCACCTCATTGACCCTCATCATAGACCCAGCCAAGCACCAAAACACTTGGTTCAACTAATCAACTAGACCTTGCTGAACTGGATCAGGGTTGTGCCCAACAAAGCATGATTATCAGATATGATAGAGCAGTCCTAAAATGGCTGATCCGTTTCCCTATCCAGCGAGCCCTACCTGGCGATCTCACACTTGTTGACGTCCAGACCTCTCTTGGGCATGTATCCCATCCCCCTCTGGGGCTCCTTGGTGGTGAAGGTGTTGAGGTAGTGGACAAATGGGGCCTCGTCTGTGATCTCAAAGTAGCGGATGCTGCTGTCACCCTACAAACCACAGAGACAAGATAACGGCCTTTTATTGTTTGTCTGAAATCCTTTTTTTTTTTTGGTTGATGACTTAATGAGCAGCAATAGACTAAAGTTTAAGATACAGTATGACGTTTTAGTAATGGCTTCATGGATAACACTTCATCATGCCTAACTTCATGGATCAAAGTAAGACTTGTTATACGTTACATGCACAGCAGATCAAATGGATGTGTATGTATGTAATCTCCACTTACCTTACCACACAGATAAACCACATTGGTGTCTGGGTCATAGAAGGGCAAGAGAACTCCATTGCTGGTGTCCATCTCATGCACTGAGATTGCCTCGTCCATGGCTTGCTGTAAATTAAACGTTGACATAAAGTCAGTTACTGAGCAGTCCAGTAACATCTTTAATATAGTGCACTACTTTTAATATAGTGCAAAAGTAGTCCACTATAAAGGGAATAGAGGGTGCCATTTGGGACTCAGCCCAGGAGTTGTGATGGTGAGGAGGACAGGGTGACCCACCGGGTTCCACAGGGCTAGCTGTCGCTCACTCATACGGCTGAAGCCTGTGGTGAACACGTTCCCGTCCGCCAGGAAGATGGCCCTCATCGGCCGCGCCCCGTCGTGTGCCTTTTCCTTCTCCTGTGACACAGAGGGTCAACATCAACATAATGTACGTACATCCTAAATCATCATCTCAGAGAGATCCCTTGAAATTAGATTCTTTTGGGGGAAAGTTACCGGAATTTGACAACCCTATACAGCAGATTTGTTAGTGAAAGTCCTGTCAGTGGTGCTCACCCCTACGATCTCCTCCTTGCGGGGGTCGATGACACGGATGGTCTTGTCCTTGCAGGCGGTGCAGATGAGGCTGCCGTTGCGGTTCCAGCAGGCGCTGAAGATGACATCAGGGTGCATTTCCTCCAGCTGAATCATGGCCTCGCCCGTCCCCACGTTCCAGATGATGATCAGGTTGTCACAGCCTGAGGAATACACACATTTAATATACACACAATACACAAGAGAAGCATGGACACAATACCACTGATATGGCAAAATAATACCATCTACAACTCTTAGTTCATTCTGGTTTGGTTTTGACATGGAGGACAGGGTCATTCTTAAAGGGATACTGCGAGATTCTGGCAATTAAGCAATGACGACGTCTACAGGTACAGTAGCATACGCTAGCGTACCTACTGCTCTGTTCAATCGTTAGGCATTTCTGAGTTCAACATTATTACATTGGAAATGTTTTACGTCAACATTTTTCAGAGACAGCCATGTATGCATTAATTAATCAATTTGACTTTGTTTTTACCACTAAGTACATAACATAATGGTAATCATTTATTTATAGTACGAAAATGCTGTATGTCGCTTTGGATAAGAGCGTCTGCTAAATGACTAAAATATAAAATGTTTAATTGGAATGGTAAATCTCTATTGATAAACTGGATAAATCAAGATATAGCCTAGGCCTATCTGCAATACAGATGAATGCATATTCAATAGGAGTGTGTGTGCATGCATTGAGTAATTGAGCTTGTTTTGGCTGATTTCATGGGGCTACAGATGACAATCTGTTTCCCTTCCATTTGGGATGTATTGTACTGTACTGAGCAACAACATTTGCATAGAAGTAGTTTATTTTTATAAAAGTGTGCGCTGTCTCTAACCAGTAATGACATCATTCACAAGAGGGGTGTGGCCTGTCATGGCCCACACACAGTCAGTTCGCTGAGGCAATAGATCATCTTTGGGAGAGACGTGAGCGAGTCCGATTAAGTGAATCAATAAAGTTTTGGTAGCAATCAGCTTTGAAATCAGCATATTTTGCGTTACAAAGTACTAGGGTAGTGAATTGATGTTGGCTTCAGCTAGTAAGGAAACTTAACCTACAAAGCTGGAAGCTACTGGTATCTTATTGCATTGTAAAGTGTTCTAGCCTGTAGACATTGTTTTGCGAACAATAATGAACAGTTTCAACATTTCTACATGCCGTGTCGCATTATTCAAGTGTGTTCATTTCTGTGCAGCATGAGTGGGGAGCAAACCTGATGCAGCCCAGACTCCCAGTGCAGGCTAAGTGTAGCAGGCACGGTGCGCTCGCGCTAAGGGGGACATTGGCTGCGCTGATACAGAGTTGATCCGTGAGAAATTCGACAGAAGTAGCGGAAGTAACAAAAATTATAGTACCGAACCATTTTTTATGTTCTAGTATCGAATAAGTACAGGCATTTTGGTATACCATGCAACACTAGAGGACATTTTACATTTACATTTTAGTCATTTAGCAGACGCTCTTATCCAGAGCGACTTACAGTTAGTGAGTGCATACATTATTATTATATATATATATTTTTATTTTATTTTTCATACTGGCCCCCCGTGGGAATCAAACCCACAACCCTGGCGTTGCAAACGCCATGCTCTACCAACTGAGCTACATCCCTGCCGGCCATTCCCTCCCCTACCCTGGACGACGCTGGGCCAATTGTGCGCCGCCCCATGGGTCTCCCGGTCGCGGCCGGCTACGACAGAGCCTGGATTCCAACCAGGATCTCTAGTGGAACAGCTAGCACTGCGATGCAGTGCCTTAGACCACTGCGCCAATCGGGAGATAAGGAGGACACCACTCACCAGCACTGAGCAGGACGTTGCGTGCCGTGGGGTGCCATGTGATGATGCCAACTCTTTTGGAATGTCCCTCCAGGACCACAACAGGCTCAGACAGGCCAGTAACCAGTCCGTTCTCAGGGATCTGCCACACCTGCAGACAGAGAGAAGGGTCAGAGGTCAGGGGTGAGGACCAGGGCATAGCTAGGGTCATTATAGCATCATATACTGAGGTCAGAATGTATGGCTGCAGTTCCCCTGCTGTTGTGTCATAAAGCGCTAAACTGGTGGACCGCAGAAAGCAGTACATTCACATGAACCAACTTGTCAAAAACCCTTTTAGATTGACATTACTGTGACAGTAAGTCAGTAGATCACACTTACAACCATGAGACTCAAGGTGGCAGCAGAGATCTAAAGTCACTCACCATACTTATGTACATACTGAGTAGCTTACTTCCTCCTGACAAAACAGCCAGTAGAGACTATACAAATATGGTCAACATTGCAGAATCAGAACATGATCTATGGAAATGAAGACTAAAGTTGAAAGTCACTATGGATTCAGGAGTCTCAACAGCAACACATCAGGAAACTTAATCTAAAGTCAACATTACTTTTAGAGAACCTATTCAGGGGGTATTTCTAGCAGCAATATCAAAAGTTCTGAAGAGAGAGGAACCTTTGGCGGTTCAACTTCTGAAAATACACTTGGAACACTGCACCCATTTCACAGACTGAGGTATTTTTCTGGTGTTCAGAGAGTTGCTTGGGGAAGTCAACGCCTACAGGTGGGGAAGTGGTAGAGCACAGTGAAGTACACTGCACACACTGATCACTGCCGTTCACAGCCCAAATAAGGACATATGGAGAAAAGTACAGCACCAGCCTCAAACAAGTTAGTGACCTCAGCCCTATAAAAAGGCTAAATCATTCCCCAGAGCTGATTCCTATACGACACGTCTCTCTCTGCGTCTAATCTAATCCAGACTAGAGGGCGAGCCCTGCCTGCACCCATGCTTAGCTACCCTATCACGATCTGATTCGGCACCCTTCCCTACACTATCAGTCTGGCCTTTCACAACCAAAATGTGTCATCTCCTGTCGGTTGGCATCGGTGAGAGGGTGTGTATAGAGCAACAGGTTAAGTATGAACAAACACACATTAGTGTACTGCTCCACTGAGAGGAACAGTCTCTGCTGAGGCGTGTGAGGGAGAGGGGTGATTGTAACCTTACCATAACTGTGCAGTCCTCCGAGCCACTGGCGATGACCTGGTCATTGTGGGGGCACCAGTCGATGTCCAGCACAGGGCCCGTGTGACCACACACTGTGGGGTAGGCCTTGTCAATGCGGCCCGACTGTGGAGAAACAAGCAGATACACAAGCAGACATGAGATTAGTCACGGATGTCATTGACGCCTGGTGATCTGAGGGAACAACCTGACACAAGTTTAACTTGAACCATAAAATCAGGGTTAGGCCAACCAACCAGAGACGATGTACAAAACAAGGAGTATGCAATTGATATCATCCCTGTGAGCCGAGAACAGGAAGACACCTCCAGCCGAGGAGGAGGAGCTCAGTCAAACATTAACAAGACACATTTTGACTACCTGTATTTAAATCTGTGTTTCGGTCCAAATTACACAGTCCATTAATGCATTAAGAGCATAGAGGGGAACAGAGACACGAACACAGAGAGAGATTCACCAGCTTAGCACTGTCATAGCCTCAAAAATCTATTTCTGTTTGCAATTCTGCTGCATAGCTACAGCCTAGGACTCATTTAGATTAGAGCTTATCTTTGTTGAATATGTAAATTAAGGTGTGTTGTTGGTGGTGATGACGTCATCAGACGCATGCCAGCAGATGCTTAGTTTTTGCTCTTTAAAGTGAAACACTGAGCTAACCTCCAATCTGAGCCCCTTATATAACCCCCTTATACAACACACAGGCCAGATGGCCAGAAATCACTTCCCCAGCCATCATACAACACACACACACACATACCACAAAGGAGCCAGACAAAGGGAAGGCTGGTCTGTGAGGGCGGGTAATATCTTGACCTCTGACCCTATTGTGATTGGAGGATCAGGTGCTCTCCACAGTGTGAAGTCTGGGTAACGTATAGCTCTGAAGATGCTGAGAGGGGTTAGGGTTGGATTCGGGAGACTAACACATCCTTTTCCATGCTCCCGTCTGTTGATTCCCCAACCAGACCACCGCAGGGCCCGACAGTCAGATGATGTCAGCGAGACAGAGAGCCCTGCTGGCTGCAGCCATACTTAGAGCATAATGGTCTGCCTCATGAAAATCACTCACTGCCCACAGCCATTCTAGCATTAGACTGGGCACCATGACAACAATGGTTTCAGAGGGGCTAAATTTAAGTGCTACATATTCAGTCACGGGGAGAGAAAAGCTTTTCCAGGTCTCTACTGTAGACATTAGAAAACAAAATAACAGTACCTGTAAGCATTAGGCACTACAGCCTTTAGTGTTGACTTCAAAACCATTCAGACAATAACCTAAGAGCGTGAAGTCAGAGAGAACAAAAATATTCAAGTATGAAGAATCATGAACATGTAATAGAGGCGTATGTGGACAGAGAGAGGTAACAAACAATGAACCTGAGTGGGCGGTCTAGGCCCTATGTCTAAATGCTTGTGTAACAGCAGACTGGCCACTAGGACCCAGACAGCCATTTCAGACCAGAACAGGATATGAGTCAGTATGTTGTCTGAAGTCTCCTCCATATTTCTCCATTACTTCCCTGCCTGCTGTGGCACTGGGGAAAACAAAGACTGGCCAGTTCAACTCTGCTGTTCACATGTCACAATACACCACACACAGCCTTAGGTTAAAACCACCACACACAGCCTTAGGTTCAAACCACCACACACAGCCTTAGGTTAAAACCCACCACACACAGTCATAGGTTAAAACCCGATTACAATAGTGGTCAGTGAGTAACAGTAGTTCAACACAAATAAAAATTAATCTGGTAAAAAGGTCTCATTTTGGGAGTGCCAGACATTGCCATGGGGATAGTGGTCATAGATGACAGTCAATTGGTTCACACCACAACGCACTGCTCAGGACACATTCACAGCCCTCCCTACAGCTCAGAGTCCCTCACAACATCAGAGTTGGGCCATGACACAAACTCCAAGCTCAGTGATCAAAGTCTATGCGAGTGTGCTATACCTGAGTGTGTATGAATCTAAAATCACATGACCTAGTCCATGCCTCGCCCTGTCCAGAGAACACTCCCGGAAATCTAACATCAGAATAATCAGCAGCTGTTCTGGGCCTGGGAGGGAGGGATAGGCTCCTCTGAATACATAGCCAGAGAGGGAGGTGAGTAGTTTGTGGAATGAGAGAAAGGTTGACGTGCTTCCAAACACAGTGACCCATATTGCAGCAGTGGCCTGAAAGTCATTCTCAATCTCCCACTGTTGGGGGGAGTGGCCTGTTAGCAGCAAGACGTGCAGCAGGAAAGACATAATCCAGTGTGGAGGGGAGGAGGCTAGCTAGGCTAAATCAGCAGAGGACCAGGTGTGACAGAGGGATGTAGGCTAGGCCTATAATAGCACAGGATACTGCTCAGTACTACCGTTTCCTCTTAGCTGCTTCGGCCTTGCTCAGTGCTTCAACATAACAGCTAGCTAATGGCTTTGTTCGAGAGTATCAAAACTGATGTATCATGGGTAAATTGTGACTGACTGATCTACAAATATTATTGAGTAGTTATTTATGATGCATGGGGATTTCTACATCAGTCAGTTTCGACTCGCCTTTAAAGTCGGCTGCAATGTGGAACACACCCAATGTTTTTCATCAGGCTGGGTGGTTGGTTGTATAATGTCCTCATTGTCAGCAGAGCTGTAGTTTCCCTGGCTTCATCTGACTGTGACATGTTGAGCTGCAGGTTTTCAGTATACTTTTTTTTTTTCTTCACAGGGACAACAAAGGTGTGAGATGACAGACTAGAATCTGGGTGTGTGCAGTAGATGGGTCTATACACAGTGTACAAAACATTAGGCTCTTCCCATGACATAGACTGACCCGGTGAATCCAGGTGAAAGCTATGATCCCTTCTTGATGTCACTTGTTAAATCCATTTCAAATCAGTGTAGATGGAGGGGAGGAGACAGGCTAAAGAAGGATTTTTAAGCCTTGGGACAATTGAGATATGGATTGTGTATGTGTGCCATTCAGAGGGTGAATGGGCAAAACAAAAAGATTCAAGTGCCTTTGAACGGGGTATGGTAGTAGGTGCCAGGCGCACTGGTTTGAGTGTGTCAAGAACTGCAACGTTGCTGGGTTTTTCACGCTCAACAGTTTCTCGTGTGTATCAAGAATGGTCCACCACCCAAAGGACATCCAGCCAACTTGACACAACTGTGGGAAGCATTGGAGTCAACATGGGCCAGCATCCCTGTGGAACGCTTTCGACACCTTGTAGTCCATGCCCTGACAAATTGAGGCTGTTCTGAGGGCAAAAGGGGATGCAACTCAATATTAGGAAGGCATTCCTAATGTTTTGTGAACTCAGTGTATGTGCTGATCGTGAATGACAAACACTGCTACATTATACAGCGGTAGGCTTATAAAACACACAGGTGGGTGCCTGTCTCAGTGGTATTTGCTGCCTGCCTGTCTCAGTGGTATTTCCCGCTGACATAAGCAGTATCATGTCCTCTAGCTGCAGCCTGGTTCACAGACCCCAGAGAGATTAGGGCTACCCCAAATGGCATCCTATTCCCTATAGAGTGCACTTCTTTTCTCCAGAGCCCTATGAGTTCTGGTCAATAGTAGGGCATTATATAGGGGACAGGGTGACATTTGGTACACAGTTGCAGACTAGGACTATGTGCACAGGGTCTGGGGAGGATCTCGGCACTCAACAGGAGACTCACATTTCACATGGAAACTCCCACACACCTGTTCAAATTATATGCTTTTGTCAACACGCTTTTGTTGTTCTTTACCAAAAAACTAAAAAGGAGTACAGTACAGACTGTCACCCAACCAATAATCATCTACATGGCTGACTTGTGAAGAGGGGACATGTTGCCCAACAGGAGTGAGGGGCTGCTGTAGGCCTGTTACCACACAGCTCACAGGGCTGCTGACGTGCCTTCCAGCAGGCCTGAGAGCCTGTCGTTCCAGTCATTCCACACCCCAGGCAGCTCTGGTATGGCTGTGACTAATGAGAGTGAGAGGGCCGCGGGGGTGTTAAACGCACCACTCTTTGAGGTGTTAATCGTGTTTGTCTCTGCTATACACAATAAGGAATTCCAGTCAGAGAAGTACAGGAGAGGATCTCGCTTCAAGCCTGAATAATTATTATTTGAAAGCGTTGTGATAATCTACAAAAGGCTGGAATGCTTGTGTACGGTGAGGTCACTGTGGTTAGGAAAGGACTGCCAATAAACAGATCCTAGCCAAACTGTTCAAACACTTCCAAGGCAGGCACGACACCACCATGCTGCTGTTTATGAGTACAGACCGTATACACATGTATCTTACTCTTTTAGACCACGACTTCTCAACGCATAATGACAAAATCAGGCTTATTTTTATAACCATTTTGGTTATTTAGCAGACACTCTTATCCAGAGTCCAACTTCCTTGATTCAGGTGAACACAGGTAACTAAGCTAGATTCTCAGAGATAATAAGGAGCAGTAGGAGGACTGGCCTGTGGCAACCTGCCTCTGCTCTGACTGACTGGCTCCTCCCTGAGACGCAGCCTGAGGCAGGTATGTATAGCTGCGTTTACACAGGCAGCCCAATTCATTTATTTTATTTTTTACTTTTTTTAAAAACTAATTGGTCTTTTGACCAATAAGATCAGCTCTGAAAAATATGTGATGTGAAAAGATCTGATGTGATTGGTCAAAAGATAAATTAGTGGAAAACATATTGGAATTGGGCTGCCTGTGTAAACGCAGCCAAAAGATACGGCCAGCCTTGATTCTTATTACAGTGTGATAATATTTACCCTCATGTCATTCAGTAACCACAGAACTATGTGGAACTGGAACCAGTCCGGAGAAGAAGGTGCCAGGTGAAAATGTGCTAAAGCTGAAGATAAGGTAAGTGGATAGGTGCTGATAAAATATGCTCGTAAGTAGAGAATAGTGCTCTAAGCTAGAGATCAGGCAGAGTACAAGGACCGGCTACAAGTAGAAACACAGTGAAGAAAAGACAGTTAGCTACTTGGCACAGCCCCTTTACATGCCTGCCTTGGGTGACATCACAGAACACTTTCACAAAAAAAAAACTAAGAGCTGCTCCTGAAACAGACCAAACCAGCAAAGAAGCAAGGAATGGCAGACCAGACCGCTGAT